AAAGAAGGAAGAGGTGGAGGGGAACCAAGACAGGACTAATGACATGCTAAACTGCAGCCGCTCTTTCATAAAATATTCACCGTCTTAAGCACGTCTTGATATTAAAAGATTATTCGTCCCGGCGACACCCGAGACCTGATTTACGAGCTGCTAGGAGGCTGCTAACTTTCTGATTCATGATGCCAGGTTTCCAAAGGTAACCTTTCCAGCAAGGGGAATAGGGGTGTGTGGGGAGGTGGGATTTAGGAAAGGTGGGAGGAAAGGAATGACTTGGCAGGAAGGCATCCCTCTTGGCTTGGGGAGGCAGAGCGGGATGTGGAAGAGGGGGAGGCCCCGGGCTCCGTTCTCGGTTTGTTTTTAGGGTAGGGTTTGCCAATCGAAGCGGCTCCTTAATAAGTCATTTCTTCCCTCCCGAGTTTTTATCTGCCTGGGTCATTAATCCCTCACACTTACAGAATAACAAATATATGTTCTACAAATCAGCCAGACTTGGGGGAAAAAGAAAAAGAAAAAGAAAAGAAAACACCCAGATTGGAGAAGAGCAGAGAAGGGAGCATCCTTGTAAGATATAAAGATGTTACTGTTGTTATTCGTTGGTTAATTAGTGGATTAATTAATGGCGGCGTTTTACACCACAGTGGCAGAACCTGGAGTTCCCCTGCATTTTAAGTCCTCCTCCCCTCCTCCTCCTTCTTCTCTTCCTCCTCCTCCATGCTTTCGTCCTCCTTCTCCTCCCCTTCTCCATCTCCTCCTCCTCCATCTCTTCCTCCTCCTCCATCTCCTCCTCCTCCTTCATCTCCTCCTCCTCCATCTTCTCTTCCTCTTCCTCCTCCACCTCCTCACATTTCATTGCCCAATGAGGTAGCATCATCATTGCTAGGAGGAAGTGAGGTTTGATCTCCACCCTCTTCTAGCACAGATGATGTTACCTAGATGGGTAATGAAAGGTCTGCAAGAAAACCACCAAGCTCAGAAAGCACCAAGGACCCCACACAGTCCTCCTCCTCCTCCTCCATTGTTTAAATTATGGATTTCAAAATGGTTTTGTAAGACTTCATAGTGCAGAAAACACAGATTACCTTCACTAACCCACAAAGAAAATCTGCATTTTAACAGGCACCCAGAATTGTTGCGATTCTTTGTAACTATTAATAAGCAATCGGCATTAGAACCCAATTATCAATACTAGGTTCCATTGCAACATCCAGACTTATGATTCTTAATACATTTCCATTCCTCCATGATGTATTGATGTAAGTGGAGAGGAAACAATTCTATATCCATGAAAATATAATAAAAGGTTAGGGAGACCGATATTCAGAAGTACCATTAGAATGGAATAGAATAGAATAGAATAGAATAGAATAGAATAGAATAGAATAGAGTAGAGTAGAGTAGAGTAGAGTAGAGTAGAGTAGAGTAGAGTAGAGAATAGAAAATAGAAATAGAAATGGAAATGGAAATGGAAATAGAATGAAATGGAGTAGGGTAGGGTAGGGTAGGGTTAGGGTAGGGTAGAGTAGAGTAGAGTAGATAGAGTAGAGTAGAGTAGAGTAGAGTAGAGTAGAGTAGAGTAGAGTAAAAATAGAAATAGAAATAGAAATAGAAATAGAATACTTTATTTAGCTAAGTGTGAATTGACACACAATTAATTTGTCCCCAGTGCAGAAATACAGGCCAGGTATTCCCCAGTGAAAACTGCAAGCCAAGGTTTGAAGACGGCCCGTATTTCCATCTCAACCTAACGATTACATTCTGCAAGCATTCAAGTTCACGTCATCCTAAGCGGGGCTTTTCCACTTGACTTTGCTGATTAAGCCACAATCAGCTGGCTTCCTAGGGTCATGCACGGCTATAAATCATGGCTTGCAAAAAACGCAACGGTTGAGTTCACACCCTCCGTTCAACCCCGGTTGTCCCGGCCCAGAGCTGCTTTGAAGACAGCTTTCTAAGCAGGAGAGTGTTTAGCAACAGGAAGGAGAATGCTACGGATGGGTTGTGCTAGCGCCAACCGGTTTACACACCCCTCTTGGTTGTGCAAACAACGCACGCAGCTTGATTCTGTTAGAAGGAGCTTTGTTTTCAGGAAGCGGAGGTCTTTCTCCCTGCATTTTGACCTTCTGCTGGCAATTATCCGAGAAAGGCAGCTCAGAGCAATCTGTTCAGGCCCGAGCCTATATTACTGTTGGAAAGAGGCCAAGTCCAGTTCCCAGCATCAGGGATTTTTATCAGAGGTCACCCCACTGCAGATGTGCTGGGAGTATAGGGGAGAGGGAAAAGGGAGAGGAGGGATGATGTGATCTCAAAGACCCTCTTTTCAGGATCTTGGGTGGCGCAGTGGTTAGACGGCTGTACTGCAGGCTAACTCTGCCGACTGTCAGCAGTTTGATTCTCACCGGCTCAAGGTTTGACTCAGTTTGACTTCCATCCTTCCCAGGTTGGTAGGCAAGAGGCTGACTCGGTAAACCTCTTAGAGAGGGTTGTAAAGGACTGTGAAGAGGTATATAAATTTAAGTGCTATTGCTTGCTTCCTTCCCTTTCTTCCTTCTTTCTTTCCCACTCTTTTCTCCTTCCTTCCTTCCTTCCTTCCTTCCTTCCTTCCTTCCTTCCTTCCTTCCTTCCTTCCTTCCCTTCCCTTCCCTTCCCTTCCTTCCTTCTTGCCATGGTGACACAGTGATTACAATGCAATATTGCAGGTTAATTCTGCCCATTGTCATCAGTTTGATCCTGACCAGCTCAAAGTTGACTCAGCCTTTCATCCTTCTGAGATCGGTAAAATGAGGACCCAGATTGTTGGGGGCAGAGGCTGACTCTGTAAACTGCTTAGAGAGGGCTGGAAAGCACTGTGAAATGATATGTAAGTCTAAATGCTATTGCTATTCCTTCCTTCCTTCCTTCCTTCCTTCTTCCTTCCTTCCTTCCTTCCTTCCTTCCTTCCTTTCCCTCCTTTCCTTCCTTCCCATGGTGACGCAGTGATTAGAATGCAGTATTGCAGGTTAATTCTGCCCATTGCCATCAATTCGATCCTGACCAGCTCAAAGTTGACTCAGCCTTTTATCCTTCCGAGATTGGTAAAACGAGGACCCAGATTATTGGGGGCAAGAGGCTGTCTCTGTAAACTGCTTAGAGAGGGCTGAAAAACACTGTGAAGCAGTATATAAGACTAAGTGCTACTGTTATTGCCCTCCCTTCCTTCCTTCTTTCCTTCCTTCCTTCCTTCCTTCCTTCCTTCCTTCCTTCCTTCCTTCCTTCTTTCCTTCTTTCCTTCCTTCCCTCCTCCCTCCCTCCCTCCTTTGCCATGGTGGTGCAGTGGTTAGAATGCAGTATTGCAGCTTAATTCTGCCTACTGCCAGGAGTTCGATCCTGACCGGCTCAAAGTTGACTCAGCCTTCCATTCTTCTGAGGTCGGTAAAATGTGGATGCAGATCGTTGGGCGCAAAGTGCTGATTGTGTAAACTGCTTAGAGTGGGCTGTATATAAGTCTCAGTGCTATTGCTACTGTTATCTGTTCCCGTGCATAGATGGCAAATTGGGTTTATTTGATTAGAAGCGAGATTGTTCTTTCAAAGTTGTTTTGGACAGAAATTAAATGTACATCAACTGTGCGCTTCTATTCAACCCAAATGGTCAGATTGATTGATTGATTGATTGATTGATTGATTGATTGATTTAGATTTATATGCCGCCCTTCTCCGGAGACTCAGGGCGGCTTACAATGCGTTAAGCAATAGCCTTCATCCTTTTGTATATTTTTACAAAGTCAGCTTATTGCCCCCACAAACCGGGTCCTCATTTTACCTACCTTAGAAAGGATGGAAGGCTGAGTCAACCTTGAGCCTTGGCGAGAATTGAACTCGCAGTAATTGCAGGCAGCTGGAAGCTAAATACTACCTTTTAACAGTAGCATTAGTCTGCTGTGCCACTCAGGCTCTAAGTTTTTAGAGATCTTATCAGATTGAAGCTACAGGAATGGCCAAAATTGTGGAAGCCTTTTGGGAAAAGTGTCTTTTCTAAAACTAGCTAATAACACCACTTTTTTTTTTGGAGTAGTACCATAAAATTATATATCAATGGAAAGATAATTTATTCAAGAATGTAATGCAATTTTATGAAGTATTTGCTATTAGAACAGCAGTATTTGCTATTAGAGCAACAGAAGAAAAGTGAAACACATAGAAAAAAGGAGATAGACAAAAATGATCACCTTAATCCTTAGCTGGGTAACCTTTAGCATGAATTACGGCCTTACAACATCTTCCCATGGAGTGAACCAAGTCTTTTAGTTCTGCAACTGTTATAATGTGAAACCAAGATGGAATGATGGCTTTTATTAACTGGGTTTTATTGCTGGGTCGCTTCTGACGAACAAGTTTCTTTAGTCGGCTCCATAGATATTCAATTGGCTTAAGGCAGGGGTGAAATCCAGCAGGTTCTGACAGGTTATGGAGAACTGATAGCGGAAATTTTGAGCAGTTCGGAGAACCGGTAGTGGAAATTTTGAGTAGTTTGGAGAACCGGCAAATACCACCTCTGGCTGGCCCCAAAGTGGGGTGGGAATGGAGATTTTGCAGTATCCTTCCCCTGCCACGCCTACCAAGCCATGCCCATAGAACCGGTAGTAAAAAAAATTGGATTTCACCATTGGGTTAAGGTCTGGGCTATTCCCAGGCCATTCCAGCAATGGAATACGATTATCTTGAAACTCCCCCCAAAAGTGGTGTTATTAGCCATCAATCCTCAAAAATATATTTTTCCCAAAAGGTTTCCACCGTTTTGGCCACTACTGTATGTCCTTTTGGCTTGATTCTTCAACCCAAAAATCTTCTCCTTTATTGAGAAGACCAATTCTTGATGAACATTTAAACCCATTTTTTCTATCATTCAGATAGAACCCATCTTGGCTGGGTCAGAAGAGGAGATATTATGTTCGGAATTGAATTCAAGAAAAAGGCTACAAAGCTCCATTCAGAAGACCTGAGCTTCCCCGATTGTCCACTTACCAGTTTCTTCGTCGCAGAGATGCTCGCACGCGTCCGTCGTTCTCTGCCCACAAAGATCACGGATCCATGGCGAGGTGGCATTGATTTGATAATACAGGGAGAGCTTTGCAGGATTCAGCCAGTCCGAGATGTCCAAGTAGCTGCCCTCACTCACAACAAAACTGCTTCCTGCAAGACAAAAAGAAAGAAGGTGAGGCAGAAAAAGATGGATCTTGAACACTGGGCCCTGTCTAACAAAATGAAATTCAACATAGAGAAAAGTAAAGTCTTACACTTAGGCAAGAAAAACCAAAAGTACACATATAATCACCAAGATGTTGGTGAGTTCTAGTCCGGCCTTAGCCATGAAATCCGGCTGGGTGAATTTGGGCCAATCACTGTTGTGATTTAGGCTTACTGAGTCATTACAAGGCACAATTAGTCCCAAATAAACCTATTTTATTGTAACAGCTGAGAATTGCATTCATTCCCAGCTGAGTCCCAATTAGTTGCAAAACAAGTCCTTTGGAAGTAGTCCTTTGGGATAATCACCAACCTTTATCTTCTTTGACACCCTGCCAGAGGTCTTACTTGGCAAAGCCCCATGAAGTTCAGAAACAAACAAGAGATGCCGACTGGAAACAGAGTTAGCAACATTGCTTTCCTGCAAAAAGGCCCAAGTGCCTTTGTTTCTTTTTTAAGCCTTATGGGAAGGGCCAATCATCTCCTGGCCTTACTCCTGAGTCGTCCCTTTTGCTTTAGCTGCTCTTGCCTTCTGGCATCTCTGCGCATGCGTGCCCTAGGAACAGGCTTCTCCTGTTCCTCTGCCTCTCTGCTGTCTGACTCTGAGGGCTCTGGAGTCTGCACATTGCACCCGGATGGCCCTGACCCCATCTCTGCCTCCGACGCAGAGTCCTCGTCCAGGCCTTCCCCAGACTCCAGGACTGGCCCATGTTCCTCCCCAGCCTCCTCATTGTCCGACTCTGCTGCCAGCTCCGCAGAGGTGGCGGATGACAACAATCACCAGGACACTGTGAGTTCTAGTCCTGTTCACAAGGTTTGTTGAGGAGAAAATAGGAGAAGGAAGGTGTGTTGGAAATATTCACCACCAGGAGTTATTTGTAAAAAAAACAATAAAGTTAGTGTCAGGTTTCGAGATCGTCTCAAATAAATTGCATTTCAAACAAAGTCTTTGACAAACTCCAATTTATTAAGCATGACATTCTAACTCCGACTTCATCGCAGCCAACACTGACTTCCAGACCCAAAACCCTCCCATTCCGTACCCTACTCCTCTGCATTCATTGGCCATCTTCCAGGTCACTCTACCCCTAATCTACTGCTCCAGCTCAAAGGAATTTCCCCCCTCCCATCCCATCTCCTAGGGGATATTATCTCCAGGGAAAATAAGTAGGTGAAAAGTCAAACGTCCCTTTCCAGACACCTCCACTTCTCCTTCTTATGTCAGCACTAGAGTAAATGCATCTTGAAGTGCTGACAGTTAGGATACAACCGAACAAACTTCACGGTTTTAAAAAAACCTTCTTTTATCTTCATCTCCCCCAGAACACAAACACAACTGTGCAATCTGCACAACAACAAAGATACAATAGTGCAGGAATAGCAAAGCAACTGGAAGGTTGCGAGTTTGAAGGAATCACCAATTAGCAAATGTTTATATGTATGCTAGTCACAAGACTGGTGACCAATCTCAGCATGATGAATATTTAATTAACACAATGCCTTAAAAGTAGAGTGGGTTTTTTTTTTAATGCGGAGTTGACCACAATGTTGAAAAAAATTAATGATTGCTGGGTATATGTCTTCGTGTGTGTTCTCACATACACACAGACATTGTACATTCATACTGAAAGGGCAAAAAAATGTTTTCTCCCATCGCTTGGCAAATATACATCTTCTAATTAGGCAAATGTATTTTCAGTTTTCCTTATCTAATATCAGACAGCCAGTCTAATAAGGGCGGGGGAGGCGGGATTTTTACAAATGTTTGCATCCTCATTAACCCTGATCTTCAATTACACTGATTATGAGGCTGTTTTCAAATGCTGTGACAGAGATCAGAGCTGAAGTGCAGAGAGGAGGAGAGGAAGGAAGGAAGGAAGGAAGGAAGGAAGGAAGGAAGGAAGGAAGGAAGGAAGGAAGGAAGGTGGGAAGGAAGGTGGGAAGGAAAAGAGGAGGAGGAAGAGAGAAGGAAGGAGATGGAGAAAGTAGGAAGGTGGGAGGGAGGGAGGGAAGGAGGAAGAAAAGAGGAAAGAAGGAAGGAAGGAAAGTGGGAAGGAAAAGAGGAGGAGGAAGAGGGAAGGAAGGAGATGGAGAAGGTAGGAAGGTAGGAAGGTGGGAGGGAGGGAGGAAGAAAAGAGGAAAGAAGGAAGGAAGGAAAGTGGGAAGGAAAAGAGGAGGAGGAAGAGGGAAGGAAGGAGAGGGAGAAGGTAGGAAGGTGGGAGGGAGGGAGGAAGGGAGGAAGGAAGAAAAGAGGAAGGAAGGAAAGTGGAAAGGAAAAGAGGAGGAGGAAGAATAGAATAGAATAGAGTAGAGTAGAATAGAATAGAATAGAATAGAATAGAATAGAATAGAATAGAATAGAATAGAATAGAATAGAATAATGGAAGGGAATGGAATAGAATAATGGAAGGGAAGGGAATGGAAGGGAATGGAATGGAATGGAATAGAATAGAATAGAATAGAATAGAATAGAATAGAATAGAATAGAATAGAATAGAATAGAATAGAATAGAATAGAATAATAGTTGGAAGGGACCTTGGAGGTCTTCTAGTCCAACCCCCTGCCCAGGCAGGAAACCCTACACCACTTCAGACAAATGGTTATCCAACCTCTTCTTAAAAACTTCCAGTGTTGGAGCATTCACAAATTCACAATTGAGTACATTGTTTTCTTTATGTATATAAATCAACATTAGAATCATATGTATGAACAGTAAATTGACATAAGGGAGAAAAACGGATATGTAAAAAATGTTTACTGATGTGAAAATGTTGAAAAGAAGAAAATTGTAAAAAATTATTTTTAAAAAAAAAAAACCTGTTTAATAAAAATTATTTTTTTTTAAAAAAAAAGAAGACGACCAGCGATGGTTGAATTAATTATAAGGAGCTATTTTTTTAAAACTGTTTAATATTTTTTTTTAATTTTTTTAATTAGGGATCTTACCAGAAACATATAACAGAGAATTGAGTTACCTGATTGTGAATGTATTGACAGCGGCTAGAATTGTGTTTGCTAAAAATTGGAAAAATGAGGAAATGCTCAAACAAGATGAAGTTATTAGGAAAATTATAGAATGTGCTGAAATGAGCAAATTGACATTTGAAATTAGAGAACAGGAAGATAAACAATACTATAAGATATGGGATTTATTTTATCAATGGCTAGATAATAAAACATGGAAATGAAATATGAAACGGATGTTATCATACAATTTATGGAAATGATTTTAATGGGATGAAAATGCCATTGTAAAATGAATGACCAATGAGAATAATGATATAAAGATATATGTTAGATTGATCATACGAGAAATTAGAGAATTTGTAATGATGAATATGAGATGAAGCACAAAAGATTTGGAACCGACCGACACACTATTTGTAATTGGAATGGATGTGGATGTTTTTATGTTTTGTTTAAAAATAAAAAAATAAAAATTCGAAATATAGATAGATTAGATAGATAGATAGATAGATAGATAGATAGATAGATAGATAGATAGATATACCAAATATATTTTACTGATAAAGAAATAAAGGGAGACTGGTATAGATCTATTTCAAGCTTCTTAGCTCTCATCAGCCAGCCTTACCCTGTATCTATCTATCTATCTATCTATCTATCTATCTATCTATCTATCTATCTATCTATCTATATCTATATCTATATCTATATCTATATCTATATCTATATATCTATATCCTATCTATCTATCTATCTATCTATCTATCTATCTACTATCTATCTATCTATAAAAGAAGATGATCAGTGAGAGCTGAATTAATTCTAAGGAGCTATTTTTTAATTTAATTTTATTTTTTTTGAATGCACAGGAGAACTCATAGCCTCCAGCGCAACTGATTCTCCATTGTTCAGAAGTCCATGGGGATATCCTGATATAGTTTGTTTTGTTATATGATTTCCCCCTTCCCCTTAGGTCCCCCCCCCCGTCTCTCTCCAACTCAAATTTATATCAAAGCAAAGTTGGCTGCAACAGCTTCAGAAGTTCAAACACCTGAGCCACAGGTTTCCATCACAGTTCAGGCACTTCGTTTTGAAGCTTCTACAAAGAGAGGTTTGAAGTTCTTGACATTTGAGAAAAACGTGTATTTTAGAGAACAAAAAAAAGAAGAAGAGATAAAACACGGCAAGACTTTGTTCCTTTCCCTTGTTAAATATTGTTAAGAGGCAAAAAAAAGAAAGACACAGCCAAAAATACCCACCGTCTCTCTTTCCATTTTTTCTTTTCTCCCCACCTCTTATGCACATACACATTCGGTTTTACTCTAGCTTTCCATGGGATTATGTTTTCCTCTCCTTCTTTAATGGGTTAAAAAAAAAAAGCCTTACGATTTAAATAAATTCATTTCTAAGTGGATGTTCCAGCAATACACACATTAAAAATTGTGACCAGCCTAAAATGTAAAGAAATAAAACCATGTGGACCGAACGAAAGCGGTACGCGAAAGATTTATTGTTCGTAACATGTTCTGTTCAATAGCATGGGACTCAATATCTCAAAGGACTCAAGAGTTGTGGGGGCAAAGTGGTTAGATTGCAACATTGCAGGCTGACTCTGCCCACTGCCAGTAGTTTGATCCTGACCAGCTCAAGGTAGACTTCCTTCCCTTCTTTCCCTTCCTTCCTTCCTTCCTTCCTTCCTTCCTTCCTTCCTTCCTTCCTTCCTCTGGTGGCACAGTGATTAGAATGCAGTATTGCAAGCTAATTCTGCCCATTGCCAGCAGTTTGATCCTGACCAGCTCAAGGTAGACTCAGCCTTTCATCCTTCCGAGTTCAATAAAATGAGGACCCAGATTGTTGGGTTCTGTAAACTGCTTAGAGAGGGCTGTAAAGCACTGTGAAGCAGTATATAAGTCTAAGTGCTACTGTTGTTGTCCTTCCTTCCTTCCTTCCTTCCTTCCTTCCTTCCTTCCTTCCTTCC